AAACTGTTTTAAGCAAGTCACATGTAGTATTTCATTGAATGCTCACAATTTTATGAGATAGCTGTTGGTATCATGCCCATTTGACAAATATGGAAAATGAGGCTCAAAGAGGTAAGTTAGCCTCCCTAGGTGTATGCTATTATAGTAGGCGGCAAAGACAGGATACAATTACCCTGCAGGTTTAAAATTCTGAAGCATAATGCTTCATTTCCTCCCAATATTGACAGAAATTTTAAGAATTTTTAATAGTCGTTAAAATTACCATTGCAGGGTGATGGATACCATTGTTTAAATAAATTTAATCTTTTAAAAAAGAGGATTTTTGGGATGGCCTTTTGGCTCATGTGGTTACAGCGCAGGACGCGGTGCTCGTAAAGCCAAGGTTGCTGGTTCAATTCCCACATGGGCCACTGAGCTGCGCCCTCCACAACCAGATTGAAACAACTACTTGACTTGGAGTTGATGGGTCCTGGAAAAACACACTGTTCCCCAATAAAATTTAAAAAAAAAAGAGGATTTTTTTTCCTGCACCAGCTTCAAGCACACGCTGCATAACCTCCTTAAAATGTGGTCACAGTTCTCCTTCATACTTCCCTCTCTAACATGTTCTTCACCATCAGCCTTCTCTGGGGTGAGGAGAGGAGGGCACACAATGTTCAGTCCTTCTTCATGGGCATCCCCATCCAGCCTGTCATGGAGAAAAGAATGCCTAGACTCCAGCCTCAACAGGAAGCTCATGACTATAGTAAGATGAACGCATGTTCTGGAAGCACACCCCGCTCCTGGGGGCTGGGAGAGGGAAGCTGTCTTCACCATATCTTCTGCCTTCTCCTGCAGACACTAAGCCCAGAAAAGTCGACTCACCTTAGCGAGTAGGGTTTCCTAGATCATGGTGCTAAACCCAGGGGACTGAGCTAAATGTATAGGAAACTCTGGAAGGTAAAGAAGTTCAATTCTTCTTGGACTAGTGGGAGGGAACAGGGGGAAAGTAGCTAATATGCAGTTGTGTTGAGAATGCATTATAATAAATCTTCCCTGTTATTCAATGCAGCTCACCCATACTGAGTGCCAAGGGAGAGGAAGTCTGAGGTTTGTTTTTATTCCTATAGTTTCAGCTTTGCTGTAGATACTGTTGTGTGTGGTAATTCCTAGGCAAATGTTACAATGTAGAGTTTCTCCAGGCGGTTTAGTTGGCATTTTTAACAGGATTCCGATTAAAAGTCTTTCTCCTCAAAAAAATGGTTCAGTGATTGAGGCTGAAAGGAGCCTGGCTTTGAAATCCTTTCCTACAAAACCAAAGACAATCAGAGCAGCCTTATTTTCTTTATTGCCAGGAGTCTGCTGTGAACCATCACAGGTTTAGGCTACAGGAAGCTCTTAGACCCCCCATGTGGGAAGTCACTCTGGCCTGGCCTGAGGACCTCGAAGCTCCCTTGTGAGACCCACAGCAAGTTCTAGTCATCGGTAATACTACAGGGCTGTAGAGCAGGACTTAAGGAGGTTCTGTGTTTGAAAACAAACATGCCTATTCTGTCCCCCCACCCCCCCCACTGCGGACCTCCTCTTTTCCTCCTGCTCCCATTATATGTAAGCTAGCTGAAAATGTGGTGCTTTTTGGCTTCTAAATGGTTAAAATTGGAAGGGCAAATAAAATGACAGGATGGGGGAGAGGTAGCTTGATCAGTTGAGTGGGTTTCATGTCATTTCCATTATGAATTTCTGTAAGCAGTGCTTCTGCGTTGTCAATTTTATCAGCCACATATAATTTTTGCATGTGTATGATAGAATAAGTATTGCACATCTCAGCCAACCTAGGCTTTTCCTTTTCCCCAATTCCCAAAGGACTTGAAGAAGGGAAGTCAATAAATCAATTGGTACCTTGTCCAATACCCATTTCAATGACATCACAGCGCCATTTACTAAAGATCAGACATTAGTTACGGAAAGAGACTGAGACATTTCCATTTGATAATGTATCTCTGTGTCTCTGTGAACCAAATACAGAAAGGAATAGTGGAGTGTCCTTGTAAAGAATTTTTGTGTTGCCTTTATCGAAAAGTAAAAAGAGGATAATCGTGGAGAGAACGATAAAATATCATTTATGTCTCAAGATTTATTACAAAGCCAGTGGGGAGTGTTTTCTTATCCCTTACTTTTTCATTCCAAAAATTTCCCCTACTGTGGCTAAATCAATTTTTTAGAAATTTTATTTTTATTTTTTCAAACCTGATTTTTAAAATGTTTATATTCTTTCCTCTTGGTCCATAAAAATGACACTAGCATTTAACACTTAAAAATATATAAACAAATACTTAAGTGCACTCAATTAGCTCTGATTTTTGCAGAAAAATTACACAACATGGAAGAATGCTTTTATAATACCAACACGCCCACATTTTTGTTCTGTTTTGTTCATTCATTTGTATATTTGCACATATTCAGTGTTCTTAAATTGGGATAAAACAATACAACTATTTTTGTTTAGTCTTTCCCACAAATGATTCAATGCTATATGTAACTTCATTTCTAAAATTCAGCCTCCCCTGAGCCAACTGTAATACTCTTCTCATACAACCCTTGCAGATTTTATTACCATATGATTAAAGGTGTATGCCTTACAAAGAGCCCCAAAATATGTGGCAAGATAATAATAATTACAAGGATAATGACAACAGTAAAATGCATTTCTAATACTCTGTAGTCAAATCTATCCTGGACTGAGGGACAGCAGAGGAGAGCTGTAGTCCCAGCTCAGTATTCAGGGGCTTTCTCACCTGAAGTGTGATTCTTTGCCTTTAATTCAGCTCAAGTTCCTCACCAGTCAACCACAACTCTTAGACTAGATGGTCTTTAAGCTTCTTTCCAAGTGTGAAATTCTTGGCCTTTGCTATTTTCTCTGAAGAGACTCTGATGACTTGGGCTCCGGAGAGCTCTTATGAGTTGTGGGTTCCTGTGGGGGTTTTGTATAAGGAGAGTTTGCAGGCTCTTATCTCTGGGATTATTAACCAGGAATCTCTGGATCCTCAGCACAGGTCTGCAGCCACACTGGGTACAGTGGGAGTGGTCTGTGGGTTGCCCTAGACCCTGGATTAGGGTTATTCTCTAAATATTGGTCATATCTTAAAACGAACGTTTCTGAATCCTTACTTAAGCATATGGAGTCAGAAAGGAAGAGAAGCCAGAAAAGACAGCAGGTCTCATCTGAGCTCCTATTTTGTGCTGGGAACATCTAAGTCTCCTGGAAACACACAACTTGGAAACAGTGAAAAGGGGTTAGATCACCTAACCCCTTAAAATTTTTTAAAGAAGGCTCACATTTTGTGGAACTAAGAGAAGTTCTTTATATACATAAACCTATATTTTGTTTTGTTCTTTATATATGTAAACCTATATTTGGGTTTTTTCCTTTCCGTTGAATATGGGCAAAGGGGATTATTTCACCTACAAATTTCTTTAACTATATTTAGAACTAAAGAATATGCTTCGGCCTCTTCTATGTTCTTTGCTGTGCAACAACTAGGGATTACGAGCGGGCTCAGCCCTATGTTCCCTTCCCTGCTAGCAGAGAGCACCTGGAGGGCAGGTAAGGCCGGCTGTGCTGCACGTTTCGGGTTGACGCTGGCAGCTGGGCCAGACTAAGGCCTGGATCCGGCCTGGTGTGGTGACCGTGACTGCTCCCCCTACCGGGAGTCTGGAGCAGAGCTGGTGGTCGGGGCCAGAGCGGCACAGCCGCCTCCCTGCCGCCGGTTCCTCCATGACTTCGCTGGTGGGATCAGTGAGCTGCAGCCGGTGGGGTCGGCCAGCGCAGGGCGGAAGCTTTCGGCATGGGTAACGAGCATTTTCCTGCATAAGCAATTAGCTGCGAATAAACATGTGAAATGGCGGTTCTGTAAACCGAGTCCCCGCCGCTTCTCACTGAAGGGGGAGGAGGGCGGGGGCAGGAGGGTGGAGGGAAAGAGGCCTAGAAAGCAGGGGTGTGTGGGGTGGGGTGTGTGTAAGGAGGTTCCCCAAAACGCCCTCTCCAAGTTCAGAGGCGCTTCTTAAGTTACCAACAAAGTCATGGCTGTTCCCTGGAGAGGTAACCGACCTTCCCCTTTACACCGCACCCTTTTTCCTGACTTGGGATCCTCGTGTGCACGCTGCAGGTAGTCAACACAACCCGCCCGGATTCCAGATGCCCTTGGAGACCTGGGCCCGGGGGGAGAGAGCGCCTCTGCAGGGCGCAGCCACTTTGCACCCATCTGCCCAGATACAACTGATAGTTAATTGAGGCCTTCGAGTGTCTCAAGTTCAGGTGAGCAGGGAAGTCCCTAAGCCACTGGTAATCACCTTCAGGACTTCTCTCCTGGGACTTTGGTCAGAGCAGCACCCCAAAGGCAAAGCAGTTTGGGATGCAAGACGCAGGGTGAATTGGTTTCAAAGCGGGAGGGTCCTTGCTCGTGCTCGGGGATGCCAGCTCATTTAGGGGTGCGCGGTGCAGGCGCTCTGGCAAGGGTGCATTTTCGGAGCGCAAGTTGGGGCAATGCGCACTCCACTGGGCTGCAACAGCCATCAACTCTGCCAAAGTGCGCACTGCCGTGGGTACCCACGGGCGAGGTGGTTGGGTAGGGAACAGAATACTGAACAGGGGTCACCTGAGGCGCCAAATTCGCAGTCCCGCCCAATCCTTGGGGCATTTTATGACCGCTGGAATATAGCTATCATGCGTCTATTTTAAAAGTGATATGAAATGAAGGGGTGAAAGTGACCTGCCACGGGGGCACCTGGCCCTTGCCCCACTCTCCGAAGGCGGAGGGCCATCGCGGAGGCAGTGCAAGGCACAGTGGGTGTCACCAGTCCGCCGCCGGCCCCGCTAAGGTCATGACCGTCCCCCACTCCTACCCACGCACAAACCCGCCAGCCTCCGAGCAGCCTGGGGCCTCCGTACCCCACCTTGGCACCCACCGCCAAGGCGGGGCCTAATCTAAGGGCCTGTGTGGGTGTTCACAGCCGGACTCAAACAGCAGACTAAGCTCCAAGAGTCCGGGGAAGGAGGCCTATGGTCCCGGCGTCGCGGGCTGCTTCTTGGGAAATCTCGGGCAGGGGGATGCGACTTGTGAGTAGAAAAGTCGCCTCGGCTGCCTTTTCTGCGTTGGGCTCTCGCGGGTCAAGGGCACCACGGGAGACTGTAACGACCTTGTCGAGCCGCCTGCGCTTTCTTACCCACGTGGGCTGAGCTGGAGCAGGGAGACCTGACGTCCTCCCAGCAGCACACTCTCGGTTCCCAGCCTGGGTGACCTGGACTGGGGGCTTTGCGGGACAGGAGGGAGGGATTTGTTTCCCCGCATGCTTCTCCCATTTCTCTTCCTTTTCAGGATAAGGCTGTTGGGCTGTTACAGAGGCAGACTTTCTAAACTCTCCTCCTCTCGCAATTCTTCTTTAAGGTGTTGCTATACCTCCTCCCCCAACCTTTCTCTAACCTCCTCCCCCGCCCACTCTCCCGGAAAATGTGAGTAATATGTGTGAAAAGCAGCTAAACTCTGTCTGTAGCAGAGTCGAAAGCTAAGTGCATGGGGAGGGGGCTTCACTGAAGGGTTTGGTGTTTTTAAAGTTGCTGATAACACCCGTTGCAAAGGGGCTCGGTTTGTTGGCGAGGGAGACACCCAACAGGGCGTGGATTGCGGGTGGGGGCACCCCAGGCTGTGTGCACCTCACGTGGGCAAGGTCTGGTCTCCCAGTCCCTGGGCCCAAGGCCCCCGAGACCCCCGAGGCCCCTAGGCTCAGCCAGGGGCCAGGATCAGGCTCCCGAGGCAGCCGAAGAATCAGACAAGTAATCTCGCTCCTTTCTTCTCCCTGCCCCCCACCACCACTTTTCTTTTTGCAGACAAGCTGTGTAATAGGCAGGTAGCCCGAAGCTGCGATGTAGGAGTGGTGAGTGATCCCGGGCTGGCATTGCCCTCCTGAATTTAGGAACAGTCTGGTGGCGGAGGAGGGTCAAAGGGACATCCGCTTCTTTTGATTGAGGGCGCGGTTCACTTCCCGCCGACGGCGGGATGGAAGAGCTTGGAGCAAAGGGCTCTCTGGGATGGCTCTTTGAGCAGGTAATTCTGCGACGGGGTCGAGAGCCAGTGACTGACACTCTCGGTGATGGCAACCAGGCCGGGCAGCGCCCTTTCCGGTTATCAAAATGATTAACCTCCGGGCCTTGCCTCTGGTGAGATCCCCACTAGTCCTCCAGCTTACCCCTCACAGGAATTAGGGGGCGCTCCTTTCAAAGGAGGAGCCCAGGGTCGCCGCCTGGGCCCTTCCTTACCTCCATCCGGCCTTTCCTCGGAGTGGCCCTGGGGGAGGAGGGGGTAGCACGCAGACTCGTCCCTTCTTGTCGCCCACCTCGCCGAGTCGGGTTCACCCGGCCGGTCCCCCGCGGTCCCCCGGGTCACCTCCCCCCGCAACCACTTGTCTGAAACTTACCAGATTCCAACCTTTAGGCAGGAAAAAAAGTGTTTCATATACAAACCGATCAGGGTATTTGCAGATAATTGCGAATGTCAAATACTCGGGCGTGATGACAAAATGCAGAGATTGCCCGGGCCTGAGGGGCGGGGGCTGCTGGCGGGGCTCCTGGGCCACCTCACGCCTGCAGAGAGAAGGGGAGGGGGCAGTCGGCCGCAGCTGCACACAGCCCACTTAGCTGAGACTGCCCCTCTGCTGGAGAGCTGACTCACGGACTCATTCACTGTGTCCACACTGGAACCTCGCTTCGGAGGACCGTGTGAGGGTGGACACGGCTGGATGCGGCACCAGCCCGGCTTCTCCCACACCCACACGCAGGCACAAACGCTCCAGGCAAGATTCACACACAAGCGGGGTGACTGGGTCTCAGAGGAGAGGCCCAATGCCCTTCCAGGCTGTGCTCCAAGAGCTAACACCAAACTGTCACCTCCTGCTGCCAGGCAGTTTATGGGGACAATTGCTGTACCCTTCTAGTGCTGGGATTAGTCCCCCACAGAAGTAAAAACGAATTAAAAAAGAAAAGTCCCCTCCCCCTTCAAACTCGACCCTCCAACCCCAATCCTCCTACCCCAGGATGCAGGCGGCCATGGATGGGGGCGGTGCCCCGGAGCTGCAGCACGCAAGCCGGCAGAGCCAACCCGGTCAAGGCCTTGGCGACCGCAAAGGTGGCTGTTCCCAGCAGTTTTCCGGAGAACTCCTCTGAGACAACCCACCCCCACCCCCGCCCTGGCATCCATGCTCGAATGTTTCAAGAGCCCCAATTCTAAAAAATAATTTAAAAAATAAAGTTATCCTTGTTGGATTCCAAATCTACTGAAAACTACAGGGATCATTTTATAGATGGTATGATTAAGTCAGTGGCTGGTCTGCAGCTTCCCTGGGGTCAGAATCTCAGGGATGGCGGGACGTGGACGCGGGTCCTGGAGGCTGGAAGTGGAGAACAGAAAGGAATTATAGAAGCCTACACACCACAGACGGTGACATAGCGAGTACCACGGGCTACAGGGCCCAGGCCTCTGTGTCCTGCGGCCCAGGACAATGGTGGGGGAGGAAAAGAGGCTGAGACACCTTGACACTATCTCCCACTTTACTTTTTGAAAGCCAAGGAGGTGACAAGATGCTAACGAAGAGGGGGAGGGGAGGTAAGAGTGGAAAAGTGGTGTACGTGTGTTGGCCGGCTGCAGAGGGTGGAGAGATCAGGAGAGCTTGTTGGGATGTCTGTCTCACATCCCTGTGCCCTACCCTTACTCCCCCTCCCTGCACCTTCCACTGTGCCTGGTGTCAGCATATCCCTGGAAAACCCTTAACATTTTACACTTCAATTGTCTGAGGTTTCCAATGATGACAAATTAGAAAAAAACTCTTAGGCTGCAGCCCTGCACCTAGGTCTGAGTTTGGTGGTGGTGGTGGGGGGACGCGCTACAGGGGACACTACTAGATGAACAACTGGAGAAAAGGAGTGACTTGCCTACCCAGCGTTCTTTAAGGCTAAAACTGCTGGGTTGAGGTTGGATGGGGAGTGGACCGTGGCCTGGGGCTTTGGCAGCCAGGGATGCGGGGTTCCTAGAAGTCCTGTGCTTGGCTCCTTAATTAAGGGCCACCAGAAGTGCTCTGGGTGTTCAGCCTTTCACACCCATACCAGGAAGGCCTCCGCCTTGCCAGACCTGACTGGAAGTCGACAAGGGACAAGCAGGGAGGCAAGCTCTGCAGGGCACTCGCTCAGGTCCAGGCCAATGTAGATGAACAACAGCTTCTGTCCCCAGCCTGGACAGTCATCAGGGGCAACACAAGTGTAAGATATGATTCTATTTGACTTTCCAAATAAAAATGCATTGATTGGGGGCCCAAAGAGTTCAGGCACATAACTGTCTTAATTAAATTTGCTATAAACAGACAAATCTCTTCTCCTTTTGCACATAGAGTTTAGGCAGATTGTACAGGGTCTGGCAGAAGCCAGGCTTAGGGGATGCTTTTTTTTTTTTTTTAAGGACTGTGAATGAGGCAAAGACAGAAAAAGAATAAAAGTGGAGTTTCCACGACCTCAGAAAACAGCTTAACTGAAACCAATACGTGGGATAGCAGGGAGATAATGGGGGCAGAGGGGGTGTGCTTAAAAACTAGGGAACAACCTGGGTTCACAGAGTAGCTCCCTCAGAGACCTGCAGCTGGGAGTTGGGGGAACCTGCAGTGGAAGGACTGGGAGGGAAAGGGAGGCCCTGGGTTGTTTGGGGAGGCTGAAGTGTCCATAGCCGAGGCTCCGAGTTATCCTTCTCAGCTTTGCACTTTCCTTCCCAATCCTTTCATCTTTTCCTACCACTGTACTCGACTTCCTGGCACTCGGAGGACAGCGCCGGAGGACACGTCCTTAATAAGGCCAGTTGTGGGCAAGGGGTTGCTGCAGTGAGTGCCGCAGCATGTGCGCCCTGCGGTGGGGCGCTAGGAGCCTGGTGATGGCAAAAATGAGGAGGATGGGAGGGAACAGGAGCCTGGCAGGGAGCTGATGGGAAGGAAGGTTGTCCGTAACTCTCTGAGAAAGCCGCAAACGGGGTGTATACACCCACAGATCAAGGTTCCTTTCCTCTACAGCCAAGTGCCGACACTGGGACAAATCTTGAGAAGGGAGATGAGGGTAAGGCGCTGTGGTGCCCTTAGCCCGCGGGTGCGGCGGCGGAGAGATTGGGGAAGTGGCGGCGCTGAGAAGGGTGGACAGGAAGCGGTTCTCCGCGAGGACTGTGCAAAGGGCTGGGTCTATCTCCGAATGAATAACTCTGGACATCCGGAAGTTACCTCTCAGAAGGCAACCCTCGGCTGACTTTGGGACTCAAAGCCTAAAACAAGACGAACTAAGGGAAGCTCATCTGCTTTCCAACTAAAAGTGTAAAGGAAAAGTTCTCTCTATATGTAAACACTGAAAATATGAGCGCACAGGTTTGGGTGTGTTCCTGGGAACTTCAGGAGCCGGCTTCCCTATCCTGGCTCCTCCACCCCCTTGGTTTGCAAACTTGAATTCTCATCGCTTTTCATTGACTAGCTTCTGTCCCCAACAATAATCTGACTCAGAAATACTCTTCATTTCGTTTGGCTGACATTGGCAGGCACTAGTTGTGTTTTATCTGGTAGGGAATTTAAGTTCAAACAAATTTTAGTGTAATGGTTTTCTAAAAAGTCCTTTAAATGATTTTTTTTTACTTCCATACAACAGAAATGGGAAAAAAAAAAGATCGCTATGATTGGAGAGAAACATGCTTAGATTGCCTTTAGATTTCTGAGATTTTGCATAGGAGCCAACTCTGTGGACATTAAGGAAGGGGCTATTGGCAGTTCCTATTCATGAAAGGTCTTATATTTTTAAATTGAGACATGGTTCCCAGGTGGAAAAATTGTTAAAAAGTAAGGGCATGCTTTCAAAAAGATTAGAAAATAAAAACAAAAAGTTAGAATACATCATAGTATAGGAGTCTTTACTGAAAACAACAGATATTCCTACAATCCAGGAGTGGAAGTCAACATGTAGTGAAAGTTAATTAAAACGCAAACTATTAGGGAGACACTGCAAATGTCTTTACCACATCCAAAGGGAAAAATCTTTAGACACCCCGTATATTATACGTGTATTGCAATACTTGAATTGTTGTCAACATTTTTCTCCTCTGAAATAACAATAGTTCACCTTTCAAGACTCTTCACTACAGAGCGACAATGATGATTGTTCTCCAGGCAAAGGACTTTCGAAAAAAACAACTTCTTTCACACAATCACACTTGCACACCACATGCAAACACACACATAATTGCCGATTTTTTAAAACGTTGTTTCTGAATGAATGTGAGAGGGAGAGGGAGAAAGAGAGAGAGAGAGAGAGAGAGAGAGAGACTGGGAAACTCGAGCTTAGGTAACCAACAAACCCAATTACTAGGCTTTATTGATACTAAAAGGAAAAGTTCCCCTCGTAAAATTTCTCTTAGCTTATTAGTTATTTAAATCAGCCCCAGGGCTGGACCAGCGACGCCGCAGGCACCCGCTGTCGGCTCCTGGAGGTGAGCAGAAGGCGTCCGAGCCCTGACCCGCAGCCCCTCACTGGGTCCTGGGCACCGGGGGCAGAGGCAGGCGCAGCGAGCTAAGGTGAGCCACTTGGCAGGGGTGCTGGACCAGGCAAGCTTGGAGATAGGTCCGTGTGGCCCATGGAAATTAGAATTTAGAAACGAACAGGTCACAGTCAATGACAAAGGTGTGGGTGAGCAGGCCAGGCGGACGCTGAGCGCTAAAACTCAGTGGGCGGGCGGGCGGCGCCGCTCCCGCCCGGGTGCCTGGCAAGCGGGTTGTCCTGCAGGAGTGCGTTCGCTGGCCGCGGGGCGGGGGACCACTCAGGCTTCCAGGGCTCCCTCCGGTTTTGTGTGGGGCTGGGAGCTTTGTAATTGTGTGGAATCCAGGTGAATTTACACCTTTCTGGGTCGTTGGCCCTTTCAGTAGCTGATAGTTCCAAAATGTGTGTGTGTGCGCGCGCGAGCGCGCGCGTTTAAACAATTGAATTTATTTAAAATACCCCTCAATCTACCTACTGAAGTCCTTTGAGCCCGACGTGGGGGCTCTCAAGTCCTGACCAAGCTTTAGGGCAGCGCAAGGTGGTGCCTAGCTCAACTGGGTTGGGCCGCAGGGCCCAGAGGCAAGGCACCGCCTGGTGAGGAAGAACTGAGCCTCAGGACACCACTGTCACAGCTACCTGGGCCTTAGCCTGGGGGTCAAGTCTTGACGGACTAAAAGGGTGTGGTGGGGCTTCGCGAGACCTAGAGAACTTGCGAGTCGCCAGCCAAGGAAGCCCTCGAGGTTCTCCGCACCCCCTGGACAGG